TGGCCATTGACACAGCAGTCACCTCCCATCTTAAATTCCTTCATCCTCCCACAGATCCCTGTCATCTTTGATCAGCAGGTAGCAGAGCATTAGTTCACTTGGCCTCAGCTGGACAATAAAACCTTGAGACACAACAGTGAGGCAGTGAAACTCCATAGTCAGGGCCCAGAGACGGACACTTCAGTGAGGTATGGAGTCCTTTACTTTGCTTTGCTTCCTTCATCCTGTCAGCTACATCAGCAACTGGACTAGAACTCAGAAGGATGTTGTGAACAGGACCAGTACGGGAATCACAATAAGCAACTTGTCCCCAGACACTGCTCCCAGGATACCAGGCCCCAGGGGTGGGTCTGAGGCAGGGAAGCAGGACTCTAGAGATTCCTCTCACAGGAGTTAATCTTTCCATGACTCAACCCACCAGGTCTCTGTCACTGCCACTGGGGATCTTAGAGAAGCATCATCCTGAAGACCAGAGTTACAAAGTGGACAAGGACCAGTCTGGACTCCCTCCACCCATGACACTTCTCTGCTCTTTCCTCTGAGGCTGGCTTCCTGCAGCCCTGGTTCATATTCAGAGCGGTGGGCTACTTGTTAGACAAGCTGATTGTGGGAAACAATAGAGATCTTTTTCTTGCTCTGCCACTACTTCCTGAGCAGAGATGGTAACTGTCACCTGGTAGATAACAATCCAGCAACTCAGAAGACTCTTTGTAAAATGTCACTTGGCCACTGTGTGGTTGGGTATTGCCTCTTTCATAATTTTTCCTGTGCTGTGGCTGCTTGTAAATTTTTTTAAAAATATATCCTACTTAAATTCCCTTTTCCCCCTTATTTATCTGTTTTTAATTTTCATTTTGTTTGCTTGTTTGTTTTTGATACTGGATTTCTCTGTGAAGCCCCAGCTGTCTTGGAACTTGCCCTGTGGACCTGGATGGCCGAGAACTTAGAGGTCTGTGTGTCTCTGCCTCGTTAAGCTGGAATAAAGGCATGTACCAACATTGCCTGGCTAATTTTATTTGTGTATGACACTTATTTTCTGCATGTATTTCTGTGTACCATGTTCAAGCTTAGTAGCTATGGAGGTCACAGAAGATCTCTGGATAACATGTGACTGGAGTGAGATTGTTGGGAGTGCACGGTTGGATTCCCCCTTAGCTGTAAGAGGACTCAGCAGTTTGGAGCACTTCCTGGTGCTCCAGGAAGGGGACCAGAGTGTGTTTTCCTGAACCAGGCTTTCCAGCCCACGGGCTGCGAAGCTCTAGGGCCATGGTTTTGAAGGGACTAGCTCTCCCTCCATTTTTGCAGCCATAACAGCCAGACACGTACTTTTCTGACCTTGCCTTGGTCACTAGAGGTTACGTTCCTGCCTCGTGGCAAGGAACCAATCAGAAGTTAGCTGGTGGTGCTATGCTTTACGGCTCTGGTGTGCTTTACGGACAAGCGCACAGCAATGACACACGCGCAGAGCATAGCAACCAGCCTTGGAGGGCCTATGGGCCATAACAACCAGTTGACCAATCAACACAGGGCAAGCCCTTCAAGCCTGGAGGCACACCAATCCTGAGCCTGTGCGTACCCCTAGACACTCCCCTTACGCTGCCCTCTATGCAGATGCTTCACAACGCCTCTGCCTGGTTATAGTGGGAAATTACCAATACGGAGCCAAGTGGAAATATAAGGGTATTTAATAGAAAAAAGCCTTACTTACAGAGCGACCTAGCCAGCTGGCATAGCAGCGGTCTGTACGCAAGCCCAAAAGTGAAACCGAAAAAGAAAACACAGTCCCAAGCAAGTATCGCTCTACGTCACCCTGACCACCCCCTCGAAAGCATGGTCAGGCACACCTGTAGCCAGCCCCTAAGTAGGCATGGCTACAGCTTCCCCTACACCTGGTGATTGAGGTGGCCACCGTCCTGGGCTAAGATCCTGGGAACCTGAGCTTTCTGGGGGGTCTTAGAGTTTATGTCACCCTCTTCTGGCCAACTTAGGCAGCAGAAATATGGACATTCACACACAAGGTGAATGTGGGGACTGAAAAAAGAATATTTATATAAAAATCATATATACTAAATATATATGAACTTTGGCATACATTTCTGGACATGAACATTTCTGACCTTCAAAAAGCCAGAAACTCTAAATAGGATATACAAATGGGAATGGTGAGGAGAAGGACAAGCAAAAATGTAAACTATTAATGATCAGTATTTTATCATATCACTGTATCGTGGAAAATAACTATTCGTCTCATGAAGTATTTGCATACAATTAATTGGTTACATCTACAAAAAAGAAAATGTCTCAAAATCAGAGTTCTTGACATGGTGAATATGGGTTGATCTCCACATGAACATAATTACTGTTGAAATCCACACGATTTGTACCCAGTGTAGAGATCCTGACTTCAAAACACGGTAGAACATCTAGCTCCCTGGCCTCTGAGATGGACTCAGAAGGATGTTTATGTGAGGACCAGGAAGACAGACATCAGGGTAAAGAAAGGTGAACCCAGATATTGCTCCCTGGATATGAAGCCCCAGAGTAGGATCTTGGGTGGGTAGATACTCTGATTGCAGAGATGCTGCCCCAACAGGTGGCTGCCACTCTCACTGGACATTTTCAGGGAAGCCATTCTGCCTCACTGATATCAGGGTTTGGAAATAAACAGAACACAGTGCAAACTCAGACTTGAGCCATCATTCCTGGTGCTGATCACTTTGTCTCTCTCTCTGCTGATGGTGGCTTGCTTGGTTTGGGTGCTCTTCTTCCTGCCCAACCTGCAGGCCTTGCAGTACAGTGAAGAAATCGCTTCTCTTCCAACTCCACATAAAAAGTGACACCAGACACCAGAGGGTGAGTGCAGGGTTCAGAGGGATAAATCATCTCTGCAGGGCTGAGCAAGGGTGCAAGGAAAGCAGTTTCTCTGCCCTTTTCTACCAGACTCTCCTGATATACCAGCTGGGCAGGTCCCTGTCATGAGCTCTCCTGTTTTGTGCACCTGCTGGGTGTCTGTCCCCGATAAGGTTATAGATCTCATCACTTCTTATCCTAGCTTACAATCTCTGTGATTTCTCTATACCTTCCTACACACATTTTGCATACCAGAGCCTGGGGTCATTACTCTCAGGTAAGTGATCCATGTGATCTTTACGGCATCACAGTGAGGTGTAGATACTCTGAATGCAGTCTGAAGTGCAATGGGTGGGGAAGGGATAAAATGAACAGCAAAGGGAGACACCACTGCACCTTACACCTTAGAGTGTTCTTGAGGGTCCTGCTCCACTCTAGCAAACAGGGACAGGATGATGAGAGACCAAGATCCATCCACATGGATAAGACCACACAGCCCTTTAGGTCCCCTGGCTCACACTAATCTACCAATCTGTATATCTGCCAAATTGGAGTTCTTTCATCTACAGAGAGTGAATGTCAAGCCAGGAAACTTCACAAAAAGAAAGTTACTAACTGAGCAATACTTCCCCAAATTTGAGAGCCCACAGTCAATGCCACATTGAGTGGGCAGATGTCTTCTTCTTTCACAACCAGTAGTTTTTCTGAAGACACTTAAGAGATCCTAGCTTCTTTTCCTGATGTAACATGTGAATCCATTATTTTCCCTTCCAGGTCTTCTATAGCCCACTACAGCAATGGTAGACTAAGCTCTCAGGAGAACTTTACCTCTTTGACAGCAGATGACTCCCTCACTTAAACACTTCAGATGCACACAAAAGTTTTTGGTGAAATTTGTGATAATATTAACAACTGAGATTTGATTTAAAAAATACATTTAAATGTATAAGCAATGAGAACTGATGTACTTTGTCAACAATATTTTCCTTTTTTTAAGTAAAATTTAAACTATAAATGCACTCAACAAATAACAATCTCCCATTGTCATGGAGCTGCAAACATTGAAATATTCAAAGATGCTTCATGTTCCAGATGGAGGTAGCACCTGCTTTAACCTAGTGAAGTCTAAAAGGTTAAAGTCTTCTATTAAACCATGCCTCTATCTTAGTCCCCAGAGAGAAATGGCATATGGATGTCTGTGAGTTCCAGGCCAGCCTCAGAAAAAGTAAAATTATCTGAACTGGTTAATAAAAATAATTCCCCTGTGTCTGGAGAGATGGATAAACTGTATGGAGGACCAGAATCACAGTCCCAGAAGTCTGTAAGCTCACAACTTGATATACCAGCTGGGCAGGTCCCTGTCGTGAGCTCTCCTGTTTTGTGCACCTGCTGGGTGTCTGTCCCCGATAAGGCTCTGGATATCATCACTTCTTATCCTAGCTTACAATCTCTGTGATTTCTCTATACCTTAGTGTCCTATTCCTGGGTTACTAAGAGCCTTTTCTGGTTTCCACAAACTATTTCACTCACAACATTCACACACAAGCTAATAAACATAAACATAAAAGTCAAAATAAATCTTTATATTTTCCCTGTATATTTTTGTGAAGATGCATTTCCAACACTGCACATAAAACTAAAATTCTTAAAGGGAGAATCAGAATCCAAGATATATCTAATGGGAAAAGTAAGGATGAGAATAGGCAGACAGTTAAGTGTATATTAGTTTCACCGTATCATTGTATTTTAGAAAGCAGTGGTGCCTTTTAGTAAACATTCTGCTTACACGTGCTTTATCACTAATGTTCAATGAAGCAAATGCTTAAAATTCTGCTATCTCAGAGTGAGAATTGCTGACTCAATGGCCTCTGATCTGGACTCAGAAGGATATGGATATTTTGACCAGGATGAGGTGGACAATATCAGGGTAACCAACTTGTCCCCATCAATGCTCCTAGGATTTCAGGTCCCAGAGCTGGGTCTGGGCTGGGAAAGTAGGGCCCTGGAGATTACCCTTCCAGGAGTTCATTTTTCCATGCTCTCTATCAGTACCATTGGGAATTCTTAGAGAAGCCAATCAACTTTCTCCATATCATGATTATAAACTGAACACAGAGAAGCAGAGACTCAGTGTCCACTCTTCAAACAAAATGAAGATTTTTGTTCCTGAGGCTTTCCTGCTGCTGATCCTGGGCAATCTCGCCATAACCAGGCATCCAGAGGGTGAGTGTGGGTGTCAGGAGGGAAAAAAACCTAACCTGGGGTAAAATAAGAATCCACCCCTAGAGCTGCAGCACAGGGAAGTCTGTCTCACCCCAAGCCCAGTCAGAACCTTCTAGGAACTTATTCATTTTATATCCTGTCCCCTATCCCCTGTCTCCTGCTCCCTGCTCTCCTGGGAGGACTGCAGGAGCAGCATAGGATACTGGGTGGGAAGTCTAGGTCTAAAGGCAAACTGCACTTAGGTTCACACTCCCTGTGCTATGTCTACACTCTTCTCACCACGCCCGACCTCCTGGAGCCCCAATTCACCTTTGGGGTCTACTTGGATGGCATTCTTATTGAGAGACTCAACACCAGAAGAGCGAGTCCGAGGATGGAGCACTGTGCTCCTTGGGAGGATCAGCAGCACCCACAGTATTGGGAGAAAGCGACTGATGATATCTTTTATCGACGTGAAGTCTACAAGCGCCTACTTCAGAGAGTGCTTCACATCTACAATCAAAGTGAAACTGGTGAGTGAACCAGGATCAGTAACCCCAAGTTTCGCAGTCCCAAAAAGTTTGCTCCAATTCCCCATATCCAAGATTTACCCCAGTAAAATGAGACCCCTGTAGACTAGGCTACAGAGAACCTGGGGACACTGATCGGGTTTTCTGCACAATTAAAGCCAAATGTGGCCTTTTCAAAGGCCAACTGTGAGGCTCTGAGCCACAGAACAGCCCCAAGAAACCTTTCCCTGTGAGAGTGGCTGATAGTAGGGACTTGGACAGGATATCACACAGTGCAGGTCCTGATGGGCTGTGAGGAGCTGCCTGGATTGAGCTACATTCAAGGACAATATGAAATGATCTTCAATGGCCATGATCACCTTGCACTAAATGAGGACCTGAGCACTTGGACTGCAGTGGGCAAGGCAGCTGAGATCCTGACCCAAGAGTGGGAGAAGGAAGGTTATGCTCAACATTTGAAGTCTTTCCTGGAGAGGTATTGTGTGAATTCGCTCCACTCACAGCTGTATTATGGGAAGGAGTTTTTGCTGAGAACAGGTAAGGAAAGAAACAGCCACACCTGCACTGAGACTGGAGCCCCTGTCCCCTGAGGATTCTTTCCCAGCAAGGAGAATTTGGAATAGTAACTTGGTCTTCCATGAAAGAGAAGGGTGTCATGGGTTTCCTAATTCAGCAAGAGAGAGGAACTCTCCAGAGTTACGAGTCGTCTCTCTGGAAAGTTCAGTCTGTCAGTTAAGCAGCAGTTCCCTTCCATTTGCATTTTGAATCTGACCTTGGTAAGGCCTTATCAATGCCCATGAACATTTGTGATGTGATCCAGTGTTGCTGAGTCTCAGTCTCCATCCAGTCAGAACCAGAAGTCCACATTCCTAGAGGGAGACCCAGAGTCTCCTGCTCTGTACTGGCTTATACTGATTCTGAAGCTTTCCAAGGAATAGATTACCACATCCTTATTCTGAGACTAGGCTGATGTGTGGGGTCTGCATCTCTCCTGGGGAACTGTCCCTTCCATTCAAAACAAGGTACATGCACATTGATGGGCCTTCATAAAGAAAAAAGAATACCTGAATCTTTAAATTTATTTCCTCAGACATCCCGAAATTACATGTGACCCATAAGGTCAGAGCTGATGGGAATGTGACTCTAAGGTGCTGGGCCCTGGAATTTTACCATACTGAGATCACCCTGACCTGGCAGAGGGATGGCAACAACCAGACTCTGGACATGGAGGTGATAGAGACCAGGCCAGCAGGAGATGGAACCTTCCAGAAGTGGGCAGCTGTGGTGGTGCTTCCTGGGGAGGAGCAGAGATACACATGCCATGTGAACCATGAGGGGCTGCCTGAGCCCCTCACCCTGAGATGGGGTAAGGGCTGGAAGAGAGCACAGAGCCTCTCACAGTGAGAGTGGGGGTCCTCGGAGAAAGGAAACAAGTCATAAACTGACAGCAGGAGGTTAGAGTCCTCACTGTTCCTTCCATTCTTCCCTCAGAGCCTCCTCAGCCCTCTGTTCCCATCATGTTAATTCTTACTGGCCTGGTTCTTGGAGCTGTGCTTATGGGAGCTGTGGTGACTTTTCTGATATGGATTAAGAGAACTAAAGGTAAGAAAAGGGCAGGGTCTGAGTTCGTGTCTCTATGGGAATATGAAGCCCAGCTGAGAGTGTGCCCTGCCACATGAGAGCAAAGTTTTATCCACAGGGTAACTTATTCTGTCTTGTGCTGAGGAGCTGACATTAACCCCATTGTGAAGCATAAAGGGAACAATGAGCAGATTCTTCACTGCAATGATAGAGGTGGCAGAGACTTGATCCTAAGCTCTCAGAGGTCAGATGGAAAGGTTCCTACTGAGAATAGATAACCAGGAGTCCAGTTAGTCCTCTTCATATGCAATCTTCCATCATGTTTCCTCATCCTTCTCTGGATCTGCAGTCACAGCTATGGAAACTTCCCTGAGATAAACCTAGAAGATTCCTCTAGGCTTTTTAGATTCTGATGCTTCCATGAGTTCAAATGAAAGTGAATATTCCCAGGGGTAAAATGGGAGACAGCCATGTTCAGGCTTGCCTGTTCTTTCAGTGGGGTTTCATCCCTGACACACCTGTGGCAGTATAGTCAGGAGCCCATGGGTGTTCTCAGCCTGCCCAGACCTCCTCATTTAGTTCCATCTTCAGAGGAGACCTGCTCTTGTATCACTTTCCACTGGGAGGTAAAGTTCCTAACATGTCCAGCCTTGTGTTGCAGCTTTAGAAAGTGAAACCTTAAAGACCTGGTGTATGACCAGGAGAGGTCAGAGGATAGAACACTGGGAATGGGGACTCTAGGGATTGTGACATTTTGAGTGTGTGATAGGCTGTTCAGAATGTCACCATTTAAGACAGTATTTGAATTTCTTCCTTGTTCTTTTATTCTACAGGATAAGACAGCAGGACTGAGCCTAACAAACAGGATTTATTCTGTTTTCTCTTTTCCCTCTATGGCCTCCAGAACTGTTGACTTCCCTTCCAGCATCTGACTGTTAGTATGTGTCTGTCTCCTGTGAGTACAGTATAAACAGGTGATGAGTGCAGCCCTACCCTGAGCAGCAACAAGTCCCATCCATGCACTGGTCATTCATTTCCCCAGTCACCATTGCTGTTTCAACAGAGGCTGGGTGGGCAAACCTCCATCCCTGATAATTTAGTTTTCACTGAGCTACAACTTAATGCATGTTCCTTGAAAATAAGCATTTTTTGTCATTCAAATTCTTGTATTTCATTTGTGTACTAAGTAACACTTGATGGAGAAAATAAATTCTCAGACACAATCCTATGGAATACTGTTCTAACTCAATTGCCTCTTGTGACAGTTGGAGCCTGTGCCTGCAAAATTATTGATCCTTCCACCCTGGGCTTTCACCTAGTCCCTTCCCACCTCTGTCATCTTGCTTCTTTGAATAAATCTCTTCCAACATGACATGTGATCAAAAGATCTCAGGCACTTGTAGTGTTTGTCCAGTGTCTGTGCTGTTCTTTCATATTGGTAGTCAACCTCTTCAGGCTTTAGCCTGATGTTCCATCAAGAGATGTTTAGATTCCTGATTCTACAGGAATTACACTTATTCTCAGTTCTGTGTTTGATTCTGATGTCATTGTCTTCTGTTATCCATATTCACTGACACAAGTAGGGAGTGTTGCTGTTATTGTCCAAAAAGAACTCTGTGGTAGTTTCACCAAACTTGTTAAATCCACACCTGGTTTCTGACAGAATAGGGGCTATGATATGTCATTAATCCTATCCAGGGGAGGCTCTTCTATCAATATATATGCAAGTTCAAGATTACCCTGGGCTTCATTCTGAGACCCTGTCTCCAAAGGAAGTCATTAATATCTGATAAATAAATGAATAAATAAAAAAGTAATCCACACAAGAGATGGATAAAGCTGTGCTATGCTAATCCCAACTCAAAGAAATCTCAACTAAGTTTGTGAATTTCAGGCTGAAAGTAGGTTGATGTAAGAAAATTCATGTGGAGTACACAAATTGGGCAATACCTGTTGATAAACTGCTTAAATCCCTAAAGAATCTCATAGTCATCACTAAAGCTTAAACATAGGACATCATGTCATCCAATCACTTTCAATGAAACTGGAAACCCTTCAAAGTGAAGCAAGTGAACCCTATGCTAACACCTGTCTACAGAGAGGGTCACAGCAGAGAAAAGAGCAAGAGGAATGGTTCAGATTAAATCAATAGTATTTTTTGTTAAACTAATATCATTGATGGTCTAGACACTTTATGCAGTGCCAAAGGAACAGAGATTCTGCTCCAGTTCCAATAGAACATTAATCTAAAGACAGGATGTTTATGGTCCTAAAGTATTTTCTATTGTGTGCTTCTCTGGATCCCAGAGGTAATGCACATGGCAGATTCTCAAACTCTTGTTAAGACTACAAGAGATCCCCAAAAGATAGTAACACAGCAGGACAGTCAGGTTTCTGACACATATGAGGGTAACTTCCTGCATGAATGTCTGTGGAACAGACTACCTGGCTCACCCAGGGAGCACAATTCCCAGCAAACCCAAGAGTCCTTCAACAACAGGGCATGGCGGCACTCCTCTATCCCAGAGAAGACACCTGAGGTCAGCTTCCCCATATCCGTCATGTATTGGTGTCATGGTCTTCTTTTTCTACCTATGTGCAGCCCTTACATATCTCTCTTCTCATCCTGCTGAACTCTTTCAGCATCCATGCTAACTGGACATCCTAGCCACTGTATCTTGTCCCAGGGTAGAAACTTCAGGAGAATCAGGAGCTGGTCTCCAAAACTCACACTCCTTGTGGTATTTCAGCAAAAACCTATCCAGGGCTGACTTCTGGGATGCCACTTGGAACACAGGCTCTTCAGGCAAGGATGTGACTCACAAGATTTGCAGCCTCTGATGTAGTGAATGCAACATATTGGTCCAGAGGACAGGAATTGGAGAAGAGGGTCACCTGGAGCCATCACTCCTAATTCCCAAAATGCCTGAGATCTCAGTTTTGCTAGTAGAACTGGAGGATGTCTCAGACATAATTGTCTCCTAAACAGAATCATGAGGATAAGAATTCCCAAGCCTGGCATGTTTCTCTTGATAGGAACAAAATGCACATTGATCCTCAAGTGCAACTTTTGACCCCAGGTTAGCATTATTTGGCATTATCTTCAATGAAGCTATGATCTGAAAACCCTCAGTTCCTAAGACAGTCAGAATGGAATGATATGAGCCACATAGGCATGTTTACCTCTCAGGTCCACACAATTTTCTAAGCCTGTGTAGACATATCAAGATCACAATGCTCTGGAATAGCTGACATATTGTCCCCTGTGCTGGGACTCAGAAGAACATTTTGAGCAAGGTTAGGACATGGATCTGGGTAAATCAAGTTGTCCTCAGGCACTACCCTGGGGATACCAAGCCAAAGAGCTGGGTCAGAGTGAGGACATGGATTGTATGGATTCATGGTTCCTAAGAGTTGATCTTCCAATTATGTGACTAAGGCTCTCCTCTCTCTCTCTCTCTCTCTCTCTCTCTCTCTCTCTCTCTCTCTTTGGTAGTTCACAGAGAAGCCCAGAAGCCTAAACCACATTACGGTTACAAAATGAAAAGTACTGACTAAGACTCCACCTATAAAGCAGAAGGGAATCCCCAACACCCCATCCCCTTCAACTGCAAACTGCAAATCCTACATCTATGTCTTTGACCCAGAATCATCTGTGTGAGTCCAAAGTTGAAGAGGAAAAGAGTCTCTGCCCAAAGGAGCCAGGGCTCAGTCTGGCTGGTGGTCACTATCCAGAAAAAGGCATTTCTGCCTGAGCTCAACAGCTCTCTAACTTTTCCCTCTGGGGAGATCTGTGCTCCGCAGTGGTAACAAAATCTAACTGACATCTCTTGAGAACTATTACTTAAAAATAGGGAATGTTTCTGTGTAGAAACCATCTAAGAACTACTAACACTCTCAAACTGCCAACCAACCTTGAGTTTATGTGTTGTGTGGAACAAAGATAGAAGACACTCTGTAGAGTCACAAAGGAAATGTTCATAGAGGAGGTAAGTGGTAGGTGACAGGTGATGCATATTAAGGGTATGGGACAGGTCAGGTGACTGTTTTACTAGGGTGTTTAGCCTGTCAACAGTGTGAAGGTGATGTGTGAGATATTTTCAGGACATGAGGTGTTACGGTGAATCTTTCCACCAAAAGCCGCCTGAGCCCCACCTCCACGTGTGCGCTTTATGCCAGCGGCCCAAATTAATACACAGAAAGACTTGTATTAGGTTCAAAGCTGCTTGGCCAAGGACTAGGATTCTCATCTGCTAGCTCAGTCTTAATTATCATAAATCTATATATTTTATAAGACTTATCTTATCGGACGCCTTATTGGCGTCCCTCCTTGCCGGTGGATCACATTGCTCCACTGGAGGAAGAGCGGAGGGGAAATAAGACCCTTCCTGTTTCTCCTTCGCTTAAATATGAGTCTCCTTGCTATGTCATTTCCTGCCTGGATCACCACTTCTCTACTACATTTCCCAGAATCCTCTTTGACTCCTAGTCCCGTCTAACTTTCTTTCTCCTTGGCCCAACAGTATTTTATTTAACAATCAATAAGATAAACATACACAGTACATTCCCCATCATCTCCTCTTTTCTGTCTAAATAAAATAAGGATAACTTATCTTTTAAAATAACTTAAGAAAACTATAACCATAACTATCTGTCTTCAAT